ATTTCATTGAACGCCAACAAGGAATTGTTTTCCGAATCCATTTATGTACAAATTTCCTTATTATTCAAAGGATATCATATAAAAGTGATGTGCTTTCAAATATATAAAAATACACTGTGTTTCACCGCAGTTTTGTTTAACATATGTTCATTATATTGATTATAAAGACAGATTAAAAGACAGATTGATTTGGCAGTAAAGTTATCAATTCCATTTATGTATACGTATTATTGTTTCTTTCAATATGTTGATTTCAGCCTTCACTATCTATTGGGCTCATATATATATATAGGCCAGTTTTTCAGGCTCCATTCTTTTAATTTAACGAAAAAAAAAAAACAAAAATTGTTTTTTTCGAATATTATTATTCTCACCTTTGATCTATACATGTATATTAAACATGGGTAATTCACATTCATCTAGTAAATCGTTTCGTAAAAAACTCTCAAAGAAAAAATCTTTACAAAAATTGATCAACTCAGAATCTTTAAAGCAACAACCGATATATGATCCATCTAAATTTCATTTACCAAAGAATGATAAAGATATTGATAGAATGCATGAGCAGCACTTTTTATTCAACCATATTTGGGGATGCAATTTTTCGTCACCGATTGAGCGAAAATTGCATAAAGGAGCAATAGTATTAGATGTTGGGTAAGTTCTTAGCTTTTTTTTTTTTTCTTTAATTTTTTTTATTCATACCTAATTTTAAATTATTTAAATGATCGCATTATTATATTTAGCTGTGGTCCAGGAACTTGGCTCCTGGAAATGAGTACAACTTATCCACAATCTCAATTTTACGGCATAGATATTGAACAAATATTTCCAAAAGAAATAAAACCAGGAAATTTAGAATTCATTCAATCTGATATTACAAATGGTATTAAATTCGATAATGATCACTTTGACTTTGTAAGAATGAGTCTTTTGGCTCCATTTCTTCAAGAAGATAAATGGATTCGTGTTTTAAGAGAATTAATACGAGTGTTAAAACCTGGTGGATATATCGAGATCATAGAACATGAATTACAATATAATATCGGTTCTTGCTTCTCTATGCTAATCACACCTTGTAAGCATGATTCTATAAAATTTGTATGCATTTTCTAAACATATATTTTTTTTTAAATAAGTTTCTTATAATTTTTTATAGTGTTAAATTTCATAAGATCGACGGGTGCCAACGTCCAAATAATGCAAAAAATCGATTCACTACTTACAACATCATCATCATCGAATCATCGTGTCTCACCATCTTCTCGAAATGC